GCTATGCCCGCGTTTTTTTCCTCGTAAAGTCCTAGTAATGTTACTACGACTTTACGAGGAAACTGTTTTCTCGTAAGTATACGAGAACCTTACGAGGAAACATGGTTTCCTCGTAAACTCGAAGTAAACTCGTAGTAATTTTACGAGGAATTATTTTCCTAGTAAAGTTTCCTAGTAAATGCTTAGTTTTCTTGTAGTGATATGGGGCTTCTCAACTATTTCTTGGGTGTCGAAACCATTAGAACACCAGCTGGTATGCATCTGGTGCAGAGAAAGTACATTACAGACCTTTTGTTTAAAGCCAATATGTTGCATAGCAAACCGGTTGCAACACCAATGGCTTCTTCACCGAAACTAAAGCTCAACTCCGGTGATCCACTCAATGATCCACTCAATGATCCACATGAGTATCGCAGACTTGTACGTAGTCTCCAAAACTTATCTCTGACCCGTCCTGACATCTCATATGCAGTGAACAGGTTATCGCAGTTTATGCATCGTCCCACCTCGGAACATATGTAAGCCGTGAAACGGGTGCTTCGATATCTATCAAAAACCTTAACGCATGGTATCTTCCTCCGCAAACAAAGCAAACCGCTACTCCACGGTTATTCAGACGCTGATTGGGCTGGAGACTCAGACGACTATGTCTCCACTAATGCTTACATAATCTATCTTGGCTCGCAGCCTTTCCCCTGGACTTCCAAGAAACAAAAAGGAGTGGCGCATTCATCTACAGAGGCTGAGAATCGTGCTGTTGCAAATACTGCATCTGAACTTCGTTGGGTCTGCTCCCTTCTCAGTGAGCTGGGTGTTTCCATTCCTATGCCTCCCATTGTCTGTTGTGACAACATTGGAACCACGTATCTCTGCGCAAATCAAGTGTTTCACTCTTGTATGAAACACATTGCTATTGAATATCATTTTGTTAGAGGACAAATACAAGCTGGTGCTCTCCGTGTATCTCATTTGTCTACCAAAGATCAGCTAGCCGACTGTCTAACGAAGCCACTGTCAAGAGCACCATTCCAGCTACTAAGAAGCAAGATTGGTGTCACTCATGTCCCACCATCTCGAGCGGGCATGTTAAGGAAATAGTATACACTACAAAGGTATCTATGTAAATACATTGTTTTATACCTTAACCTACTTGTAATACAGTATATATACTCTACGTATTCTGTATAATAAAATCATTAAGCCTTATACTCTTTAAGATCATCACTCAATATCTAAAAAAGTTTATATTTCGAAAACCATAGCCCAACAATACTTAACAGTTAATAAAATTACAAGAAGCTTGAAAATTAAACCCGAGGAGGAGTGACCGAATGAGGGAAAGGAGGTCCAGGGTCAACTCTTTAGATCTGAATGGCTCTGTGAGACTCATCATCATTATCATAGTACATATAAGCAAAACCACCGTGACGTGTCATATCCATACCGGCCATCTCATCCTTCTCTGATATCCGAAGCAGACCTAGCTTTTTGAGCATGAAGAAGAGTGTTCCCATGGTAGCACTAACCCATCCTGCCACCACAAGTATTTGAACTAATTGTGCTCCCAGCAGCTTACCTCCTCCGCCCATTAACCGTCCATATGGCCTGCCCGGTGTTGCGCCGTAAACCTCGTTTAGATACTTCTCCTTTGCAAAAAGTCCTACAAATATCAACCCCCACGCGCCGCATCCTCCGTGTAATTGCGCCGCCTCGAGGGGATCATCGTATTGTACTATCTCTGCCAGCTTGTTACATCCTATAAGAACGAGAGCAGCCACGAAGCCACATACGATCGCAGCCCAGGGCTCTACCACAGAGCAACCCCCGGTTATGGCGGCGAACCCACCGAGTAGCCCGTTACATACGTCTGTCACATTCCAGTGGCCAGAGAGAAGACGTTTTCCGAAGAGTGTGGTTAGAGCCGCGGTGGATCCAGCAAGTGTGGTTGTAACTGCTGTCCGACCTATTCCGCTCCATTGGCCATGGCTCGAACCGGTTTCATACGGAACCAGGATCTTGGTGAAGGAACCGGGGTTGAAACCGTACCAACCAAACCAAAGAAGGAACGTTCCTAAGACGACAAGGGAGGCAGAGTGGCCACGTAGTGAAATAGCGCGACCACTTTTCTCAAACCGGCCACGTCGAGGACCTTCGATGAGAGCACCCCATAGTCCTGCTATGCCACCTACCATGTGAACAACACCAGAGCCAGCGAAGTCTATGGCTCCTGTGTTAAACAAACGGTCTTGTGCTGAACGGAAAGGACTAGCCCATCCGTATGGGGACCAAAACCAGTGAGAGACAATAGGATAAACGAATCCGGTTAAGAAAGAAGAGTAGATCAAGTAAGCCACAAATTGAGTCCTCTCCGCGATAGAGCCGCTGGTTATTCCAGCAGCTGCAATTGCGAATGACCATTGGTAGAGGAAGAAAGAGTAGTCAGATGTGAGAGTCGGGAAGTCTCTAAGAGCAAAGTTGTGTCTTCCGATGAAACCTTCAGAAGATCCACCAAAGGCAAAGGCGTAACCAAAAAGATAGTAAAAGAGTCCTCCGGCTGCAGCGTCAAGGACATTGGTGAGCATGATGTTCATTGTATTCTTGGCTCGAACGGAGCCAGCACAGAGCATCGCGAAGCCTATCTGCATGGAAAAAACGAGGTAAGAAGAGAAGAGAAGATAGGTGTTGTCTACGGCGTAGGCTGCATCGGTGAACTTGTTGTCAACGGTCCCTAACTGCCCGCATATGTATTCAGCCGCCGCGGTGGCGTTCGGACCGAGCATGGCGGAGAGATCGGACACAGAGCATGTTAGAGTTCCTGACATGTTGACAGAGTTGAGAAAGAGAGACACGGATAAGAAAGGCCGTCTCTTGTGTGTCTATAAAAAGAAGGAAGATGGGGTTTATGGTTGACTTTTGATTTTGGCTTCACCAATTAAATTAGGGAGACATATTAATAAACCCTTAATTACATTAAAAGTTATGCAAGAGAGATATTATTAGATCAGAGGATGATATCTGCCAAATCTCTTATTAACAAATTGCACTCTATGGTCCTAACTACCCTATACGGTTTAGTGATTATTAGCGTGTAGCTGTAAATATAAAAAACAAGGGAATATATATAAAATAAGATACTACTGTATGTGATGACACTATACTTAATAAATTTATTTAAAAACCCCCAAGCAGATTTTCAAGTTGTGAGTTGTAACCAAGAGTCTTCGTTTCAGCTAAAAGTAAACAAAAAGCAAAGGTCTTCTTAAAGAAAAAAGAGAGTAAATTCTCTGATCATACATCTTAATTTTAATAGAACAAAAAATGAATGGATGATGGTTAAAGAGATAATATGATCCGTTCAAATGTAATATACGTTGGAAATATTGATAAAAAAATCATTTTTTCTTGGCTAATAGGAAAATATGATCCGTTCAAATGTCATATACGTTAGACCATCAGGACAAGCAATTACCGTACAATATGGTACCTTACTTTATAGAGTCACACTAAAGCGGGTAACTCCTTTATTCTTCTTCTGTCCGCATGGAAAAACTTTCACATGTATCCCTAAATTGTTGTTGCTAAAATATACTAAAACAGCAACACAAATTGTGTTTTGAACAAAAAAAAAGCAACACAAATTGTGGCAAAACAAAGTGTACTGATTAAATCTAAAAGTATATTATTTTATTTTCTGATTTTTTTTTTTTTTGTGAAAGGTATTAATAAGATAGATGCAATGTCTTTTCCCGCTGTCTTATCATTTTTAACTTCTAAAAATCACTTTAAAAAAAAATTAAAATTCTAAAATTAGAAGATGAACTGAATAGTATTAAATTGTGTTAATTCAAGGATGAACAATTGATGCTTGATCAATGGTTTTCCAAATGAAAATCGTGGTAAATGTAATGAAGAGTATTATATTAGATATTTCCCATTATCTTTTTATAGGGACAATGTTTGAAAATAAAATATATATGCATTATTCAACTTATACGTTATATATTCGACCGCTAGGACGTGGTTTCATAATTAAGAAGCATATTAGGTGATTTTCCCTCGTTCATACATGGATATAACTATTTATAAGGAATATTATAATAATTAATGATATTTTTTAATTTTAAATCAATTTATAATGTATATGTATACTTATTTGAATAATAATATATTATTTTAATTGGACATATTTGGGATATGTTATGTTTAGTTTGTTTGGTTGTATTTGAGTCACCAATCGATTTGATTACAATTTGGGTATATTTGATTTCATCTATTTCTTCATATTCAACTATAGTATTGTTGTCCTAATTATATATATTTTTTAATTAATTTTTTTGTTTGATTTAGGTTAGTTGTCATCTTAGATATACAAATATATTTTACTAAGACTATGTATTACTTAACTTATCTTATGCTTAGAATGAGATAAACAGATAAACAGAAGTGTTTGTTTGGCTCAGAATTACATAAATGAATATAGTAATAATATTCTGAATTACACATAATTATATAAATTGTACAAAAGAAAATTGAATTGTAACAATTGGTTAATAGTTTATTTTTCTATATTTTTATTTTGAGTCATCCGGTAATTTATTTGTAGAAAAATAAAGAAATTATTATTATAAATGTATATGTTCTTGTTGTAGTTAGATATTTTATTTTGGATATAAGTTGGACTAATTCAATTACTCATTTTGTGAGTATATTGAGTTACACATATTCTATCAAATTAAAATAGAATTATAATTATTTTTTATTCTAGTTAATTCAAATCAAACTAGTTTTTTATCGTCTAATACAAGTATTTTCAAAGTATTTTTTACAATTTGATATATTTTGATTTTTGAAAAATGTTAGAAACTAAAGTGATGATCAATACGAAGTTACATACATAAGTATAAGTATAACTGATAAAGTTTAGAAGCTCATGAATCCATATCAATATTTACAAAAATTTAAATATTTTATAAATTCTAAATAATTTTATGCCTTAAATTTATTGAAAGGTAATTTATAGATCAGTATACACGTAAAATATAATTTATATCTCTTTCCTGTAATTGTAAGATATTAGAGTAAACTAATGATTATGAAAAATAAACAAAACATTTCAAAATACTAATTATAAACTACTTTTAGTCAATTAAACTAAATCAGTTAATGTTACTTAATTATTTGTAATCATCTAAGAAAATAGATAGATATAAATAAAAATTTCTATGAATTTGAACATACATATATATTACATTGTTTAAAATTATGCTTTAAAGGAAATAATATATATTTTTTTAATATCAAGACTATCTTTATGAATTTCTTTTAGTGTAATTACATTATATAAAATATATTTTTTTCATCTATGAAAAAGATAAATATAAAAGTATATCTATTAATTTGAATGTATATTATTTTAATGTTAACGAATATGTTTTAAAGGAAATATTACTATTTGTGAACTTTCTTTTTGATGAAATCATATTATAAATACATATATTTTTGTTTTTAAAATCGATCTAAAATTTATAAATGTTGCTTATTTATTATATATTTTTGTTTGGAAAAACAATTAAGCTAAATTACAAATTTCATTAACAGAAATTACTACAGAAAAGAAGTTAATAGTACTTAAATATATTACTTTTAAATCATTAATGATAAATCTGTAACTGACTGTCGTAAAAATTAACGTGAACGTGATATGTAGGAAATTGACTTATCAATAAGATTGTTGAGATTATCTCGAACATGTAAGTTAGCACATATAAATAAACCCAGAATAGTGAATTTAAATTGAAAAGGAATAATATTGAGCTTAAAAATGACGAAAGTTTGTTTTGAACATTTTTTCTTACAAAGGACTTTTTAAGTTTGTTTTAAACTAGTACTTCACAAAACTTAAAAAAATGGTAATCTAGTTAGCTATCTCTTTTTATGTGCAACATAGAGTTAGCTATCTCTAACTTCCTCATATAGCAATCCTCATATAGCTGGATTTTTAACACAATGTGTTTCTATGTGTGATATATGGTGTTTTTGACATCTTTTATACATGTTTTCTTAATTATTTTCAAGTCTTTATCGAATCTTTCTAGTCTTTTTTGAGATATTACAGGTCTGGAGTAGGTAAAGAAACCTTTGGAGAGACACATGAAAAAAAATGAGATTGAAAGTTTTCTGTCGCAGAGCAACCCCTGCCTGCTCCCAAAAAATATGGAAACTCAGATTAATTTCGTGATTTTCCCTAGTTTTTCTATTATTCTCTCCCAGCCGCATGTGGCCTCTACCGATATTCTTTTTCTATCTCTTTTATTTTTTCACGTTAGGTTTACACAAAGAAACAAGACTTAAGCTTGGAGGGATTTGATTTTACACTTTGTAAAAGGAGAAGGATCTTCATCTCTCTCGTTTAGAGAAGACCTCTTGAACCCTATTTCTCTTTTATTGCAGTGTTATTTCATGTCTTCTCCTATTATGATCTTTTTTTCTTGTGTTATGGCTGAATAGTCAATTTGTTAGCCTTGGATTCTAGGGTGTTGTTTCACGAACTGAACATAGATAAGCTTCATTTTTTTGTCTTCGTTTATGACTGCTCTTAATGCTAATACTAATTTAAACACTCAGTGTTTGAATCTATGCTTAACCTTTTATCATTAACCATGAATTAGGTTGCTAGATCTGTTATAAACAAGCATCATATCCCTGATCAGCGAGAATAAATATCAAGGTATTTCGTGAACATATTAGATATGTGCTTTAATGTTTGTTACCGGCCCTTGATCCAAGCGAGAGCTTAGGTGTCGAGGTCGCTCTGTAAAAGGAGCAGCTCCACGAGAGAAGGCTGTTCTATCTATGAAATCTGAGTCCTAGACTGTTCTTAACCGAGCTTGAATAATTTTTTGGTTCAGCATGTTAACACCCAATGAAGCACCCTAGGCTAGCATTCTTCATCATCTGAAAACCTCAATCAAAACTGTTACTTGTTTTTTAGAATTTCTTATTTTTTAAAAATCATTCATTGTCTTAGCTTAATATTGATCCCATAGAAATAAAGTGTAAGAATTTGTCTCTGTGGATTCGATCCTTGATATATCATGGATTTTACCCACTTTCAACCATGATTTATATATATTTTTGGAAACAAAAGGATACTTCTAGTGTCTTTTTAGAGCTTTTATAGGTTCAGGTACACTGGTGTAAAATGGCTATTATGGAGCTAAAATGGAGACTTTATGAAGATATGAGCAAAACAATGTTAAAGATATCGACCGATGTGCATTGAAAGCAATCGACCGATAAAAGATCACCCACATCGATCGATAGAAGACATTTTTTATCGATCGATACAGAAGTCCTCCGAGTGATTAAATGAAGATTAGAAGCCCTAATTGCTTCACAAGATTTTTAATAAATTACACTTTAAGTCCCTGGCCGCCTGTTAGGCTATATTAAGAGGGTTTTGTACTAGTTTATGCAGACTTCTCCAGAGACCTTTTAGACCTAATTTTAGGAGAAGCATCTAGCTATACTTTGAGAAGAGCTTAGGAATTGAGAGAGAGATCTGAACTACAAATCCAGAGAAGATCTTGAACTCCCTTGCTTTACTTATTTATTGTTTCTCTTGCTATTATTATCTTAAAGCATTATTCAAACCATTATGACTTTGTCTCTCATAAATATGTTTGAGTAGTCTCTCTTGTTAGATTTAGGTTTCTCATTACGGTTGACTCATGAATTAAAGTAACCATTATTAGGGTGTTTAAAATATAGTTCTCAATCTAGTCATCATAAATACTAGTGTTAAGGATTAATCACCCTTACCTCTGA